CTTCCAAAGATGGATCGTCTACTTCATAATTATCAGGCAGACAATAGAACTTGAGAGTGTGAAGGTTAAGGAAAACACGATGGTCGGTGTCCAGTGAGTGGGTATAAGCATGTGTATTGGTACCACGACCCTGTAAGTAAGGTATTGTATATTCAGCATGTTCAAAGTAGAATGTCGGGGCAGACACAGAAACAGGAATCGATGCATAACGGTCTCTTACCTGGAAATATTTTCCACATACCATACATGCGTATACGTTGAGATGTGATAAAGATACGGAACAAAGCTTCTCGAAATCAAAGTCTAACACCTTCCTAGAGAAAGCCTGTTTAGAAACGAAAAAAATGTTGGAATTTCAAGACTAGTCTAAAAAATCTAGAAAATAAGTATGGTATCACTAACCTATCTATAGTGTCGAGATATGGGCAAGCCCTAGAATCATGGGCTTGATCATGATTTTGCACCGATGAAGATGGCCCATCCAACTCAGCGTCTTCTTTGGCCTGGAAGTGCAATTTCATTCCAAAACAAAAGCGAAAACTGACATGCGCAAGACCGATTAGAAATATAACAATAACTATACACTAAGACCTAAAGCCCATTACGCATGTTTGATTACCGGAGGCAACTCAAATATGTCTAGAGCTATCAGTTTGTTTAGATAAAAAGGAATATCATCACATACCAGTTGTTCGATAAGTCGCAGTCTTTCCAGCTCTCTTGCCGTAGGTTCATGTGCGGGTTCCACAACCTAGAAAGTGCTGTAGTCGCGACCCTCACAGTCAGCTTGATACCAAAAGTTTCACCTCTCCCTCTTCAAGTCCATCATTTCTACTGTCATTACCATTGGCAGCTTCTCTGTCTTTCCTAGACTTCTCTTTGTGGTCGTCTTCTTTATCGTCTTTTCTCCTACTCCTACCTTTGTCTTTCTCACTCCGTTTCCGTTTCGCCTCTGGTGATCTGCAAAAGAAAGTATGATAGTGCGAACTCGAACTATGGAGGCTTACCTAGAACGTGATCTTGATTTATCTCTTCTCGACCTCCTATCTTTCTCACGCTTTCTTTCTCGGTCTTTATCCCTGTCTGATCTAGGCTTCTT